CAGCCCAGAGATGGAACCACCCACCGTAGGCTGGGCCCTCCCCTATTGATCACCAATTGAGAAAATGCCTTACATCTGGATTTCATGGGGGCATTTCCTCAACGGAGGCCAGTCCTCTCTGATGACTCTAGTTTGTGTCAAGTTAACACACAAAACCAGCTAGTAAAGCTATATACCAAAAAGAGAAATTGCTGAATCATATGGTAATTTTGCTTCTTTTCTTTCTTTTTTGAGAAGCTTTTTCACAACAAGGTGTGGTTTGATTTTCAAAGGCAGCTCTGGTTTACCTCAAAATCACTTGTGATTCTCCCTGCCTCTGCCTCCTGAGTGATGGAATTACAGCCAAGATTGATGTGCCTGGTCACTGATCCCTAAGAAAGATTATATAATTACCTATAGACATCTGCTTAGTAAAACTTTCACTCAACTTGAAGATTATATGTTTTCAATTTAATTTTTAATAGCCGAAATGATTTTACTTTATTTCCCTTTTATTTCATTATTATTTGAAGGGCTAGTGATTAAATTCAGGGCCCTGCACACACAAGCCTTCCTTCGTTGTTAAACAGGAAGATAAAATATGTTGAATAGTTACTTTGGGGGAGGTTATATAAAAGATAGGAATTTAACAGGAAAATGACATGCTGAGCGTTTGGGTCTGGTCCTTTTATGCACTGGTCTCTAGTCCTAGAAATGATAGGAATGGTTCTCTACACTCTGATCAAAACTGAAACTATTAACTTCTCAAGTCTCCTGTTAATGCTAACGTCTAATTAACAGTTAAGCCTGGGGTAGCAGCATTTACAGCACTGATGGCATTGGTTGTGTTCTCATAGTTACCAAATGGATGCTTCTCTGAATTTCTCTAGGTTTTGTCTTCTAGAGTGTTTCTATAAACTGTTTGTGTACATAATTAAAATGACTCACCTAGGATTGTGAAAAAGCCGGGTATTTCTTGCATTTTAACCCAAACAGCAAGGGGCTATGGAGGTCTGGGCTTGATTTTTATTCTCTCTCTGCCAATTTAGCCTCTCTGAGTACAGGTACTGCTGAAAATCAAAGACCCTGTAAGAGTGGAAAGCAAATGCTGTAGAAATGAGAATGTGTTTGAACTAAATCCTTAACTGGGAGGTTGATTTAGAAATCTTTGGTTCCTTAATAATGAGATGTTCAACTTCAGTATTTGATCATGACCATTGTTACCCAAGGATTCAAAAATATTCCCAAGCAAAGTTCCTAGGGGGTGGGGAGCAGGACAGAGATTAAACGGTGAAGTGGAGCATAAGCTTGATGCCAGGTTTAGTGTTAACCATCATAGCTCTTCTTTTCCAGTCATTCTTGTTATGTTATACACAAAGCTAATAGATTCTGAGGTCAGCAAAAAGGCTTCTGTCCCTTAGTTTTATATTTTCTAAAAAGGTATGAGACATAATGTCTTCTACACATGACAGGAAAGTTGCACCCATGAAATTTCAACAACATGGCTGCCTAAACAAGACCTGAAAATGAGGGTACCAACTGACACACCAACATTGGTGAGAGAAAGCTCACAAGGCTCCACCCACAGAGGAAGTGTTACAGACAACTAGTGGATGCTGAGAGAGGAAGAATGGGTCTTTTTCCAGGTAGGAGCTCCCCAACAGTGATGCAACCTAAGTGGTCGCCTCTAAACACATATACACATGAGTGACACTAAGTGAACTCAACAGGTTGTGTCTATAAATTTATGTGTGTCTGTGACAAACATAATTAAAGAAACAGAAGCCATGAATTTGAGAAGAAAAGGGGAATATATGGGGGAGGCTGTAGGAAGGACAAGTGAGGAGAAATAATGTAAATACAATAATTACATATGAAATCATAATAAATAAATATTTGTTACTTTTAATGTATATGTCTGTGTATGGGTTTGTACATGAGTTCCCGAGGAAACCAGAGGATGGTGTTGAAGCCTCTGGCACTGGAGATAGAGGCAGTTGTGAGTTGCCCAACATGGTTACTGGAACCTGAACTGGGGTCCTCCGCAATAGCCATAAGTGAGCCATCTCTCCAGCCTCCATTTTACTTATTTTTGAAGTTCAATGGTATTTGTTAATTAACTAGCAATAGCATAAAAATCACTTATAAGATGCAACAAGATACCATATAAAGCCAGACACAACCTGTTGAAGTGTTTCACTACTGTCCGTGGTCTTGCTTTTGCTGGGGAAGTGTTTAACTACAGATATTTTACATATTTAATATTTTAAATATTAATTTGAAATTTCTGTTTCCCTCCAAGACAAATAGAGTCTATGGCCATTTTTCTTTAACACTGTCTTTTTAAGGTAAAAGACACAGAAGTAAGAGTCCTCATGTGAAATCTATCATGAATACTGCCAATGGGTTTAATGTGGGCATCAGAGAATTTAGTAACTTCCACAAAGAAAACCTGAAGTCAGTTTTTAACATGAACCTTGCGCATAATTTCATCTCTGGCAGCATGAACGCTAAAATACATAACATTATAAATAATGGACTCTTAGGCCTCTCTTTAACAGCCATTGTCAGGTACACACTAGTATGGCTTCGTGGGTACAGTGCAAGCAATGAAAAGTGGTAGCCAGCACTGAAATCACTCCTGAAGCCTCCCTCAATCCATCTATTCATTATACAATCACAGTGGGAGCCCCACTCATACCGGCAATATTCAAGTCTCCCAGTACTCATGGCAGAGACTAACTCATAGGTGGGTATTCTGCACTTCCTAACTTCTACATTTATTTTTGTCTCTTATTTCGAGGCCCTACATTTATTCTCATTTGTCTTTCTAAGATTTACCCGGCCACATTGTTCTTGATATCTGACCCTTACTAACCCCTTTCTCAAGGGCTTCTCAAACTGTAACGCTGCTTAAAAAGAAAAGTAAATGAGGAAAGAAAAGAGAGTTTGTGTAACCTTTTTCTTCTTTCTTGCCTTCTGACTTGAATAACCTTATTTTCTGCCCTCCAATCAGGGGCACCTAAGAAGATATGATAGCATGGTTGATAAAAACTAAACTGGATTTTAGTCCTGGCCTTGAACTTGAAGAACATATTCTAAGTCTCTTTTCTTGTGTGTAATCAGATTTTTAAAATAGGTTATATATATGTTGTTTAAAAATTGAGTGCAAGGACCTGCAAAATGACTTAGCAGATAGAGGTGACTTGCCCAAACAGTCAGGTGACATGAATTTCATCCCAGGACCCATATAGTGAAAGGAAATCTGGTGAAAATCGTTTTCCCGGATGGACACTAGAAGAAGGAGAAAACAGTGAACAGGACAGGAGCCTACCACAGAGGGCCTCTGAAAGACTCTACCCAGCAGTGTATCAAAGTAGATGCTGAGACTCATAACCAAACTTTGGGCAGAGTGCAGGGAATCTTATAAAAGAAGGGGGAGACCTGGAGAGGACAGGAGCTCCACAAGGAGATCAACAGAACCAAAACATCTGGGCACAGGGGTCTTTTCTGGGACTGATACTCCAACCAAGGACCATGCATGGAGATAACCTAGAACCCCTGCACAGATGTAGGCCATGGCAGCTCAGCATCCAAGAGGGTTCCCTAGTAAGAAGAACAGGGACTGTCTCTGACAAGAACTCAGTGGCCACCACTTCTCCCCCCCCTCTCCCCCAAGTGGGGAGCAGCCTTGCCAGGCCACGAGTGGGGAGCAGCCTTGCCAGGCCACGGAGGAGGACAATGCAGCCAGTCCTGATGAGACCTGATAAACTAGGGTAGGATGGAAAGGGAGGAGAACCTCCCCTATCAGTGGACTTGGAGAGGAGAATAGGAGGAGATGAGGAAGGGAGGGTGGGATTGGGAGGGAGTAGGGAGGGGGCTACAGCTGGGATAAAAAGAGAATAAATAAATAAATAAATAAATAAATAAATAAATAAATAAATAAATAAAAATAAAATTTTAATTAAAAAAGAAAGAAAATTAACAAAGACAAAAAAATCATTTTCACACACACACAAATAAATAATTAATAAATAAATAAATAAAATGCAACAAATTTTAAACAAGTAAAAATCATTTTAAAAATTAAGCACAAAACACACTGCCTTTAAAACAGAACAGAACTGCCTTCATCAGTCATCAATTCTTAGCACCAAACTTCTGAGTTCCTCAGAAATGAGTGCTCTAGGGCCTTCCTCTTTTCCTCAGATTTCAGATGAAAATGAACTGGTAGTTCAGTGCAGAAAGGTATTGCACTGTATTGAGGCAGCGGCTCCTAGGACCTTGTTCTGCAGACTTTGCGTATTTACTAAGACCGTTTTACTGACACCAAGTACCAGGGCTGCCTCAACTGCTCTACCACAGCACTCTAATTTTAAATGCAGCAAGCAAGTCCAGGAAAACAAAAAACAAAGATAAAAAACAAACAAACAAAAAAACTCAGCAAGGAATACAAAATCAGAGCTCTCTGTGTTAAGCATGAGGATCCAAAACGCAGCGCGACATCAAATTGCCAGTGCTCTAATAGGCTCCATTTCAGGACACATAAAATTATGACTCAAGGAGTCGGTCTTTCCAGGATGTTTTATGGAGAACTGAGGCCTGGTGAAAACCCTGCAGCTTCCCCTTGAGGATCTCACATCAGCTGGGCCAAAGAGAAATGTGGCAATTAGGGTGCAGAGTGGGTGGGCTCATAGCCCAGCCTCTGAGAGACTCTCCTTAGCGGCAACCCTGGGGCTTGCGCAAGAGTAGGCTCTTTAGCTGGTGTGAGCCCAGCCTGGACCTAAAAGCCTGACTTGCTGAGCAGAAACCTAATGGGCGTGGTCTCAGGACTAGCATAGGCTCCAAAGGAGAGGCTCTGGGCCGGGGTGGGGCGTGACTTAGGGGGAAAGGCTACAAAAAAAGCCAATGTGGGAGGGTCGGAAGTGGGGCTAGGAGGCGGGTTGGGGGGGGTAAAGGGCGGGGGAAGACAACTGAAACGGAGGGGGAAGCAGAAATAGCTCAAGTTCCCAGGGGAGAAGGCGGCGCAAGGCAGGAGGAAGAAAGCCTGGGAGCTGGTGAAGGAGCTGTGGGCCCGGTAGGAAAGGTGAGGGATCTAGGCCTGTAACTCCGGGCTCCTCCTGCGCAAGGGAACGCTGCACGGTGGCCCCACTGCGTTTTTCCGAAGGTTACCGAGAGGTTGCCTGGCTTCTGGAGCTCTGGTCTTTGGGGAGCTGGCTGGGCTCGCAGAGATCTGAGATTCAAGTCTCCGAAAGTCTGACTTGAAAGCTCACGACCCTGGCTGCGTCCCCATGCTTTACTTGCTCTGCTCTGTTTGACTACAGAGCCCTAGGGACCTGTTGGGACAGCGGTGCCTGGGAGAGAGGGGAAACGGAAGGTAGAGGCCTCTGTACCCAGCTCGGGTTGTTTTTTTTTTTTTTTTTTTTAACTAGCTTTGACATCAGAAGCCTCAGCCCGGAGCCTTTACTTTTCATGGCTCTATTCCAACAGTTAAGTGCGTCTCCTTAGATCTCTGAGCAAAGTTTGTACAGCCTTGACACTGAGTGGTGGCTGAAAAGGTGCCTTGGGTATAGTGATATCTGCCGGGGAGGACATCTTCAAAGCTCTGCGGACATTGGGGAGACTGACAATCGTTTAATTTTCGTCCTGAAGGACCCTGCATTCATTGCCACAGGGAAGGAGTAGGAAGAGTCCCAGGACTAGACACCCACTTCTTGGCCCATTTCTTTTTGTTTAAGTAGATAGATGTATGTTCGGCAGTTATCTTTGAGGGGTGCCATTCTATAATAACCAACTCCCTTCAAACGAAGAAAGAAAAAGGAAGGGAGGGATGGAAGGAAAGAAAAAGAAAGAAAGGAAAGAAAGAAGGAAAGAAAGAAAGATCCATCCACAGTGCACACTGTAGTAAATTAAGTTTTCATTTGTGGAGGCTGGATGTTACTCTAGAGTTATCAAAGTTACTAAAACATATTATATGCAGTTTTGGAATAAAGGATTTTGTTCTGTTCCTGGACTCTGAATCCTAGGGATGTCCAAGTACTTGCTGTTTGACGTTTAGTGAAAGTCAGCTGCCGGATGGAGCCTGAACTCTGTACTCTAATCTATCACACACACAGTTGCCAGGTAGTGTCATAGTGTCTTGGATGAGCAAGCTCAGGTAGAGAACCTTCAAGCCCCACTGCTGGAAGGCATTGGAGGACGGGTTGTTCTGTTTTTCTTACTCGAAAGCCCATGATTGTATTTTCCCTTAGACTATCTCTACTTCATAAATTATAGGCCTGTCTCACCTCCAACACATACACCATGATATCAGTGAGATACAGCAAAAGAATCACCTCTGGTGGCCTGCCTTGGTACCCTTGCACCAGCTACTAAGGATGTTAGGGCAAGAGGATTTCAAGTCCCAATCCAGCCTGAGCTACAGAGTAAGACCTTGTTACGAAATAGAAAATTTAAAAGAGACTAGAGCTGAAACTCAGAGGCACACTATTTTAAAGAGAGAGGTTGTGGCTGCTGGTTTGAGGAACTTAGACCTATGATGAGTCTGTCTGGTTCCAGCTCTGTAGTCACAGAACTTTGTACAAGTTGCTTGTCTTTCCTAGGTACATAGACCATTGGTCTCTTTACTCAACCTAATAATCTATGGATTTATTAAAGTAAGATACTGCTTTTAGTTAATGATATTTTGGTCATATCAGGTGTTGAAATTATAGGATGGCCAGGAAGGGTTACTCTATTCAATCAATAAATATGTATTCTGTGCCTGAATACACAGAGAGACTATAACAAGAACAGGACAAATTAAGACACCAGATTCTTGAGTTCATATTCTGTTTGGGAGTGAAGGACCCACCAAACAGATGAATATGTAGATACAGCCTGTAAGTAGGGGGTTGGGGTGGATAACAATGGAGAGGGTGCACTTTGGATTTGGTGATGGTTGATGTGAGAAGATAAGAAGGGCTTTTTCTGGAACCTACAAAGGCCGGGAGGCATGAAAGAATTTGATGTTTTCTAGGAACTTCTGGAAGGTTTCAGTGTCTGTTTCAAGATGAAGTTGGGGATCTGGGTGGGAACAGTGTTTGTAGGGATTTATGCCATTTGAAAAGGACTGTGGCTTTCAGTGTTCTTCACATCACAGGGAAGTGACATGAAGGTGGGTGTGATGAACTCCAAATACAAACTGAGGATGGGTCTGGTGAAGTCAGTGGCAGTGGAGGCTGAGAAAGCAAAGTTGTCAAAGTCACATAAAATACAACTTCCTGATGTTTGCTTACGATAACCCTTCAGTTCCCTCACTTGACTTAGTATTCATTTTGCCTTTTCCTCCGTATTACTAATTCCCATATAGCACACTATTTCTATTTATAACCTTGTCATTTAGGCCCTCTTTACCAAATGTCTCGTTCTTGAGAACTGAAGTATGTGTGAGAGAGCCCCTGATGTTTGGGACTTCACCATGTCTTGAGTCTCCTTCCTGAGTTTTCTGTGTGCTGGGATTTCAGGTGTGTGTCACCACAGCCAGCCAGGTGTCTTTAATGTTGTTGCCTTAACTGCTGTTTCCTCAGGGCAAATGCAAATTGGGTTTTTAAGGATTTACTGAATGAGTACATTTGTTGAGTACTTTAAATCTTGATTTCATTGAACTTGTTATTGATGTGGTTGTGAAAGTAAAGGGGGGAAATCAAAGATGAGTCTCGGTTTACTACCTTGGAAACTGAGTAGATGTCCATGTTGGGATCAGGCGCATGTTTCCTAACAGTCTAGGCTAATAATGACTGAAAAAGCAGGACCAATTGGGGAAAAGATAGAAGAGAAGTTCTCTGGTTGGTATTAAGCCTGTAATGTGTAGGTTTCATTCTTTCTTGTCTCTCTGATCAAATACCTGACAAGAAGCATTTAAAGTTGGAGGCTTTTTTTTTGGCTCACAGTTTAAGGGTGCAGTCTGTCACCACAGAGAAGGCATAGCAGTAGGAACATGAAGTAACTGGTCATGTTGTGGTCACCATCAGGAAGAAGAAATGAATGTTGGTGTTCAGCTGGCCTCCCCCTTTCATCCTTTATCCATTCTAGGGCCCTAACTCATGAGATTTTGCTACCTACACTCAGGGAAGGCTTTCCCATCAGTCACTCCTCTCTGGGAAAACCCTCACAGAGCAAGATTAAGAGGAAAGAGATTAATTTAGCTCCATGTTACCCTCTAAGAATTACTTAATTTTATTGTTGTGATGAGACACCTAGGAAAAACCAATTTAAGGAAGGCTTTTGGCTTCCTTGTTGGCTTTCTCTTTTGGCTCATACTTCAGGATACTTTGTATCATGGTGAGGAAGTGATAGAAGCAGGAGCTTGGGGCAGCTGGTCACACTGTAACCACAGTCAGGAAACAGAAGCTCATGAATGCTAGTACTCAGGCTGCATCCCAGCCAAGGAAACGGGATTAAAATAATCCCATACAGGTATGGCCAATAACTAATTAAATCAAGATAATTCCTCACAAGTGTGCATGGAGCCTTCTCTTCTAAGCAATTCTAGATTCTTGTCAAGTTGACAATTAACGTGATCTATCATGTAATGTTAGCTACTTGAAATTGCCTAGAAATTCACTTTTGTTGCCTTTAGTCTCTGAGATTGGAGAATTTGCTGGTGCATCCTCACCTAGACAGTCCGGCCTTACAGACTCCAGGAGCTCTGAGCCCCATTTCTGTCTCTAATTTACCAGATACCCAGAGAGCCTCGTGGAAGGGGCTGTACAAGACTTTTCTTATGACTGACGTTCATTCGTTGTTGTGGGGCTGACAGGTCCACTGGTTCCCACAGTACCCTGCTCAGCTTCACGATTTTAGCCAAAACTGGAGAGAAGACCATTTAGATGCTTAGTTATATCCTGCAAGCACAGCAAAGGTTGAAGTAAAAATACATCCAGACTCAATACTCAGAAAGGGTGGAAGTCAAGGCTCCCATTTTTATTTGGAAAAACATATGTGTATGTGTGTGTGTTTGTGTGTGTGTGTGTGTGTATAATGTTTAGTATGCTGCCAAGTTTTCCAATATGGAGGAATGATCATGGATGAGTTGTGAAGAGACATTTCTTCCCAAATGCAGTTATCAGTGGATGCATTTTCAAAACTGATTTGTCACCAAAGGACATTTGAAATGAATCATGTATACTTACCATTAACTAATATTTTTTTTCCCATTCAGCTTAAAGGGCATTTAAAGTATGATTTTCTGACTATCGTACTTGGATATGAGAGCATCAGATCTGGGCTTTGCTCCCTGAATCCTGTAGACATTGTGGTCTCTTGATTGTGACTTAAACAGAAGTGAAGCAAGAACATTTAGCTTTGGGCAGAGCTGGGCTGCATTCTGAGGGGCGCCAGCTATAAATCCAGCCTCCCTGGAGGTCAAACATCAACATTCCCCCCTTCTTGTACTCAAACGAGTGATATGATGATGATAAATTGCTTGGACGTGACTGCCCCAAGCACTGGTATGATGGATTGTGTTGTTCAAGGCATGACCAAAGATTCTCTATTGTCAGTGCATGATATTAGTTAGTATTGACAATATTCATAAATAGTCTTCTGCCAATTTTGATCTCTGCTTTACATATTAAATTCTCTGCTTGCAGGCCATGGCTCTTAGTTCTGAGGCAACTCTGTTTTCTACAGAGTTGATGTGGATAACCAGCCTTTTGTTCTTCTTCTCCCTCCTTATTAAGATGGTGTGAGGTGTGCTTAGTTGTACACAGCAAACACTGTCTTCACAGAAACTTTTAAAATAGTAATTATTAGTCTTTATCACTAACTCTGCAGTAAGAACAGCTTATCCTACAGTGGCTTAATTGGGTAATTATTTGGTGTTTGAGGAGCATTTTGAATAGAATATTGGTAAATATTATTGTTAATTTCATGCTCTTTTGTGTAATTAAAAGCCCATGCCTCCACGAAATCTTCAGTATTATTGAGAATCAACTAAGATTTCTACTCTGCTGTGGCTGACCATTAACCAAACTATGCATATATTGATCTTTAAAATATCTTAAACATTTTCATGAACTCTCAAACCTATCTTTTGCTTACCCC